ATATCTATATCTATATAGCTATATATATCTATATCTATCTATATCTATCTATCTATAGATAGATAGATATAGATACATACACACACATACACACACACACACATATATAAAGGAGCTGGGCTGCTAACCTCAGGGTCAGCAGTTTGAAACTACCAGTTGTTCCATGGGAGAAAGATGAGGCTTTCTGCTCCTGTAAAGATTTACAGCCACAGAAACCCTGTACAGGGTTGCTATGAGTAGGAATTGACTCCACAGCACATAACCACCACCACCATAAGTATCATGTTTGGCAAGGTGGAGGGTCAGCGAAAAAGAGGAAGACCAACAGCAAGATGGATTGGCAAAGTGGCAGCATCAATGGGCTCAAGCATGGCAACAATTGTGAGGTTGGCCCAGGACCCGGCAGTGTTTCATTCTGTTGTGCATATGAGTTGGTATGGACTCAAAGGCACCTAACAACAACAACAACAACCATATATATCTTAAATATGTGTGTGTGAATGTATGTTTGTATGTATGTGGAGTCCTGGTGTGATGCTGTGAGATAAAGCACTGGACAGCAAGGTTTGGTTTGAACCACAAGGTTGGTGGTTCAAACTCACCAGCAGTTCCTTGGAAACCCCATATAGGGTCTCTGTGAGACGGAACCACTTGACAGCACTTAACAATTAACAACAATGTGAGTGTGTGTTTGTATGTGTGTGTGTATGTTGTTGTTGGTAGGTACCATCAGTTGGTACCAACTAATAGTGACCCTATGCACAGCAGAACAAAACACTACTCCATAATGCGCCAACCTCACAGTCGTTGATATGCCTGAGTCCAATGCTGCTGCCACTGTGTGCCAATCCATCGCATTGGGGGCCTTCCTCTTTTTCTCCCGCCTTCACTCTACTAAACATGATCTCCTTCTGCAGGGACTTGTCCTTCCTGATACTATGTTCAAAGGACAAGAGACGAAGTCTGACCATCTTGGCTTCTAAGGACCCCTCTGGCTGTATGTCTTCCAACACAGACACACACACACACATATATATTTGTTGGTGTTAGGTGCCATCGAGTCGGTACTGACTCATAGAGACCTTACGCACAGCAGAACAAAACACTGCCCGATCCTGGGCCAACCTCACTACTGTTGACACGCTTGAGTCCATCAATGCTGACACTTGGCCAATCCATCTCACTGGGGGTCTGCCTCTTTTTTTCTGACGCTCTACCTTACCAAACATGATATCCTTCTCCAGCAACTGGTCCTTCCTGTCCAAAGTATGAGAGACAAAGTTTGGCCATCTTGGCCTCCAAGGAGCACTCTGGCTGCACTTTTTCCAAAATGGATATATTGGTTCTTTTGGCAGCCCATCGCACTTTCAATATTCTCCTCCAACACCAGAACTCAAAAGCATCAATTCTTCTAGGGTCTTCCTTATTCACTGTCCAGCTTTCACATGCATATGAGGTTACTGAAAATACCATGGCTTGAGTCAGGCACACCTTAGTCCTCAAACTGAGACACCTTTGCTATTCAACACTTTCAAAAGGTCTTGTGCAGTAGATTTGACTAATGCACTACGTTGTTTGATTTCTTGACTGCTGCTTCCGTGATATATACAAATATATATATATATTTATATATAGAGAGAGAATGCTCTAGTAACAGTGGTTAAGAGTTGAGCTGCTAACCTCAAGGTCAGCAGAAATTACCAGCCCTTCTGCAGGAGAAAGATAAGGCTTTCTGCTAGCTGGTTACAACTCAAAACAAACCTGTGTATAGGCTTTCAGAAAAGAGGCTGTTGGTTTGGAACTCCTACCTTGTGGTTAGCTGTCCAGTACTTAACCTACATCACCACACTAGGATATATACATACACACACACACACACATACTCACACACACAGAGTCCTGGTGTGGTGCTGTGATTAATGAGCTGGACTACAAGGTCAGTTTGAACTTCAAGGTTGGTGATTAAAGCCCACCAGCCATGCCTTGCAAACCCTATACAGGGTTTCTATGGGTTGGAACCAACTTGACAGCATCCAACAACAACAAATATATA